TCTTTCTCTCTGTGTGTGCATGTATACTTGGCACCTACAAAAGTTGTTTCGGGGTGTAATGTGCCTGGCTGTTAACAGAAGTATTTGTGTGTGGTGGGCGGTATGTCTGAATGTGTGTATGTGTGTGTTTCGGCCCGTGACAATGCGTGTCATAGGCTGTGAGTATGTGGATGTGCCGCCTCCTTCCCACCAGGGCTGCCAGCCACGCGGCTCACCCCTGCAGTCGCCTCTCAGCAGCCTAGCAGCAGCAGGACGAAGGGACTCGGCTCCAGAGGCAGCACCCGGAGCCTTCAGGCAGTGCCCGCTGCCCAGACCCCAAGCTTGGCTCGGCTGCGTACAATGGGAAGGCCCCTCAGCTGCTCCCTGGGTCCGAGGGTGACCGCAGCTGCCGCTCCTGCCGGGGAACAGCCCCCACCCCAGACCCCTGGTTCACTGGGTGCGGGGTTCTAGAGTGGGTCAACTGAATTAATTAAGTTATTAAGTTATTACAAATTTGCTCCCTACCCCACAGACAGAGTAACTTACAACAGGGCTCAAGCTCCTTGAAACCATTAGTGTGAACTCACACCACCAGCACCCCAGCTGACAGGGCCCAAGCTGATGTGACTTGGGTCAACAGCAAAGAACCTTAACACTCCAGTTAGTCCGGGACACCTGACCGTGGAAACGTATGGTACTCCAGTGTTTCTTCACATGTAAGTCCCACCTTGAAGGGACGTGACAAGCCAGATCAGCTTTGGTCCATTTACTCTAAACACATGTTTAAAATGCAAAGCTTCCTCAGATGTCACAAAACATGAAAAAGCCCCCACTGTCCTCGGTCACCAAAGTCAAACTCCCCAATCTAGAGACCACCCTCTCTCTGCCTCGCTGAGCGGGCGAGGCTGGGAGACTTACTCAGATGAGGCCGGGCTGAGCCGAGACCCCCGGCGGTCTTTTCTCGCTCATGCTCCTCCTGCCCCAGCCGGCCGGCCACCCGTGTGCCAGCAGCCTGTGCCCAGCACAAGGACAGGCCAATGGTGGGTGTGCTGCCCGAGTTTTAAAGCTCCCAAAGTCAAGTAGGAGGGGCTAGACTAGGAGGGGCGGGAAGGAGGGAGCGAGCTGGAGCAGGCAGCCAGTGAGCCAGGTGTATGTGACCCGGGGAGGGGGCCAGAACACAGCTTCCAGGCTGGCTTCTCACAGGGTTGTTTACTTGCGGCATCTGAGAAAGGCTGAGCTGGGAACTGGCTTATTTATTTTCCACACTTTTCTTCCAAATCCTTTTCTGAGAGTCCTCTGGAACCCCAGTGATAAATTTCCCGGGGCCCAGAAAAACCCACAGGCCCCCAGCACATAGCCATCTTTGTGAGGAGAAGGACGGGGAGGGGGAGGCTTGGGGGTGTGGAGACATGAGGTTACTGGTGGTTAGGGGCTCTGGTGGCCTGCTTGCACCACCCCCCACCCCCCAACCACACACACTGGGATTAGAGGCAATGGACGAGAAGGCTGAGTGGGTCCGCCTCCAAGCCCAAAACACACAGTCCGGGCGACCAGGGAGCCTCCCTCTGGCCCCCAGGCCCAGCAGTGGAATCCACATGGGTAGAGTAGGGCAGGACCAGCAGCATTTTGCCATTTGTTATCAGAGGAGAGAAAAGAGCAAGTATTTCTATTGAAGGAATGAAAAGGAAGGCTGTTTCCCTCTCCTCCTGTGTGACCCCACGAAGGGCAGAGACCTCTCTGAGTGCTTCCTCGTGACTAGGATTCCCCTGGGTGCCCTGCTGCGTGACTTCGCAGTGGAGGGACTCAGCCTGTCTCTGGCCTTCACTTGCTATCTGTCAACACGCCCCAGCACTTTCATGTGTCAGATACCAGGACGGAGCCAGAGGCACAAAGACAAACAGTCCTTGTTCCTTGGGTGGGGCCGCCTGCCCCTACACCCAGTCTTCCCTCCTGGATAGCACGTTCACGCCGTAGCAGTTGGGAGAGGGGCTTGGGCGCTGGTCTCAGAACGCACCCAGGTGGGCTTCCTGGGGCCACTGGGCAGGGCCCCTTGCTTAAGGTTGCCAGCTCTTCCCATACTATGGAAACCTGCACTAGAGGCTTTGAGGGCAGAGGTGGGGGTGGGTGGAGCAGTGAGGACCCTCGCAGGGGTGAGCCCTCTCAGCCCTCTGGGGGTACAGAATACCAACCAGACTAGAAGGCACAGCCGTCCCTAAGTGCCTGCCGGGGCCTGAGAGGCAGTGTGGCTGGCAGTTCCCTAGCCTTGGGTTGTGGGCACCCACTGCTCTCTGGGCCTCGTTTCCTTGCCTGCTAAGCAGAGACAGTAACCACTGTCCCTCGGTGGGGCCTGTGTGAGAAAGCACAAGTGGGGGACCAGGTGCGGTGTGTGGTCAGCACCCCAACACCCACCCCTGCTGTGCGGGCTCTCCTGAGGCTCCAACACTGCAGAGGAGTCCAGCTCTCCAGGGCACCTGGTGCGGGCATGAGAAGGACAGCTGTGACACATCCCTTTAGATTACCACTCAAGTGACAGCAGGAGGTGGCTGGTGGGGGATGCTTTCACTGTGTAAAAGATTTCTATCCCGGCGAAGGCCACAAGAGAAAGGAATGTAGTGATCCATCTGAGCGTGTTTTATCTGGCAATTTCTCCTGAACCCAAACTTGTGACTGGTGGCAGCTTTGGCCCCACTTCTTAGACAAGTAGTGGACCATCTCTCAGGGAATTGCTGCAACATCCCCCCGAAATCACTCCCAAGCCCCAGTGTTTCCTGACTCCAGATCCACATGGAAAGCTCTAGCAGCCTGGTGCCACCCCGCCACCCCCTTTGACTCCCGTGGCCCATGGTGTGACCCGGGCTGGGCAGTGTGTGGAAAACAAGGACCATGGTCAGAGGCCTCAGGGAGATGTTAGAGAGTGCATCAGCGTGGCTCCGTGTTGCCGTGGAGAACCAGCAGGACTCAGAAACAGCCTGGTGTGGCAGAGAGAGCATGGGGCCAGAGTCAGGCCGCCTTGGTTCAAAGGCTGGCCTTGTCCTTCACCAGGTGTGTGACCTTGAAAAAGTTACAGTAATTACCTTCTCTGAGCCTCAGCGTCCTACTCTATAAAGCAGTGATAAAATGCAACCTCACAGATATGTCAGGGCTTACTCAAGGAGGAAACGTATGTAGAGCGCTTGATTCACAGACATAATTAAGGTGGAAAGATGTCACTGGGAAGGGACTGGCTGCAGCGTCCCACCTGAAACTGGGGGTGGCCAAGCCCAGACGACTCCCTCTCTCCTCTGGGGCCACAGTCCTGGGTGCTGTCCACGTACTTTGCTAATTTCAGCATGAAGACTATTTAGAAGCTTGAATTGCACACTGAACCTAGTCACGAACGGGCAGGCCTAGGGAATGACACACTTCTCTGCAATTACACGTCTCCTCGTGTCCTTGCACACTCAGTCGGGTGCCACAGGGAATTATTCCCAAGACTGCCTACGATCACAGTTCCAGGAGCAGGAGATGTTGCTGCTGCCCTGGGAAGGTCGGGCCAGCTGGCGCAGAGGCATGCACTCCATGCTCGGTACAGGGCCTGAGAGGGCCCCTCCACCTGCTGCCACCACGGAGCCAGGCCCCTGCTGCAGGGCACAGCTCCCAGAGCCTTCACGAGACCCATCTCCAACCTGGCCAGCAGAGGTGAGGAGGAAACACCCCAAACCAGCCCCAGCTTGGCCAGCTGCAGCAATGAAGACTTTCCCGCTGCCCCTCTAAGGGCGGCAGATGCTAGTGATGAAACCTGACGCCAGTGCACAGGGCACAATGGAATAAGCTGCTTGGGCCCCTTCCCCAAACAGGTTGGGCAGGGCTCCCTGGAACCCCTCAGTACCCCCTCCTCTGCAGGAAGACCAATTCCAACCCAGCTGAGGCCACCCGGCTCCGCTCGTAGTGAGTCTTGAATGGATATTAATTAGTGGTGTCATTATGTGTCAAACAACTATTTACTGAGTACCCACTATGTACCAGGCACTGTGCTAGGTCCAGGACAATCCTTGAGACATCCTGGGGCCTGAGAACACCAGGACATCTGAAAACACACACAACTTCGGATGCAATGAAAATAAACCAGGCTTTGGGACCACCGCGTTTCCGGGGACCTTGGAATCTTAAACACACCCCACCCCGTTTCAAACGTCTGTCCCAAGGCCTGAAATCCCTCCATCAGACCCCAGAGGAAAGTCCCTCTGAGGAAGCACATCTGCTGGGGGAAGAAGGGTCTGTGCTTCCCTCGAAGGCCGCGTCACCACCGCCACCCAGCTGTCCAGCTCAGCACCGGCCTGCCAGCCTTTTCCACTCTGCTCACAGACCCCACAAGGCCAGGTCTGCGTTTATGAATCACCCCCTCCTTTCTCCCGGCCTCACCTCCCACCTCCGGAAGGGCTGCGCACACCCACACACATCATCAACCAGACACGGTTTCCACACCCAGTTCGCTTCTGATAAACCCCGAAAACAGACGGCAACGTCTGCTTTCCCCTCCCCACTTCTCGGCCTCGGGGTCCTGGTCAAGACTTCTCAAGGGCAAGACAATCCCTCCTACTCCCGTCGCTTCTGGGGGGCTTGAAAGTGGGACGCTGCAGGGGCAGCAGACAAAGACGGTGGGTTTATTTAAGGGCAGGAGGACACGCTAGGTCTGAAGGTCCGAGACGCGGCGCTCCCGGACTGTAAATTTCGGTCTGCCGCGTGTGCCTGGTCTGGTCCGTGTGGCGCCTGCTCAGAGCGCGCGCGCCGTGTCGGTGGGCTGAGTGATGATGAGCTGTGAGTACCTGGCAGTAGTGAGTCTGGGTGCAGCTGGTGTGGAGACTGTGGGTGCCTGCGTGGAGTTTTTCCCCGAGCTGGGAGTTCCCTCTCCCCGCTTGCGTGTAGGCGCCTCTCCCTCCAAAGTTTGGCGCGCGCGCCCGGACTGGCGAGGGAGGGGGCGCACGGCTGGGCAGCCTCCCGGGGGCCCGGAGGCGGTTCCGGGACTCTAGTTCTCTACTTACCCCAGCCCCCGAGCCTCCTCCGGCGGGGGCGGGTCCGACTCTCCGCGGCTGGGATCCGGCGCCGGCAGCATCCGCTCGCAACTTTGCCCTCGGCCCGGCGGAACCAGCTCCCTCGGGGCCCCGGCTCCGCGCCCTCCCCGGGGAAGGCAAGAGGGAGGCGCAGCGCGGCCCTGCCCGGCCGGTTCGCACGCCCGGCGAGAAGAGGCGCCAGGCGGGCGCCGCCCCGGCCAGCGAGTGAGCGAGCGATCGGTGCTGCCTGGCGCCCTCCCCGCTCGGCCCGAGCGGCGAGCAGCGGCGGCGGATTCCTGAACCGCGTCCAAAGCGCCCGGGGAGCCCTCCTCCTCTCCGTCCTCACCCCACCCAGCTCCTACCCCTACGTGCCGACAACTTGGGAACCGTTGGCGAACTTGGCGCAACTAGGCTGCGGGCGGCGTGCCGGCCGGGCCTCCGGGTGGAAAAAGGGGAGGAGAGGGAGGAGCTGAGTGGGGAGGGGGCCGCCCCCGCCCCCGGGGGATCGAGCTGGCCCGGACCCCTCTGTGGGCCTTTGTTCCGGGCGCTGCGGGTCCGCCCGCCCCTCCCCGGGGACTCGCTCGGGCCGCCCGGGTCCCCACCCGCTCCCAGAGAGGCTGGGAGGGGCTCTGGGCCCCTGGGTGGGGAGGGTGGGGAGGTCTTCCTGGCTTCCCTTGGCCAGATTCCCCCGGGCCGCTACCAGCCTCCGGTCCTGTGCCTCCCCGGAGAGACCCCTCTGGCTGCTCGGGTTCTCCGCCATCTCTGCGGGGAGGTGGGGGACGGGGCAGGACGGCCAAAAGACGGTCCCCCAGGCTTCCGCAGACCACCCCCCCCCCCCTCTCTGACACCTGGGAAGTGAGAAGGAGGTAGGGTCTGAGCGGCCGGCTGGAGCTGCTTAGCGACGTCCTCAGACCCTCTTGGGAAGCTGGCGCCTCGGCTGGGGGCCGCGGCGCGAGCGAAGACGGGGTCGCCAGGAGCGCGGTGCAGAGCTCGGAAGTGGAACACAAACCGAGCCTCCCTCTTACCTGTCTGGATCCAGGTGATGCCTCCCAGGCTTTGATTCCGCTGCTGAGGCTTTTCTCCTGTCTTACCGACAGGTAGGGCATGAGCCAATAATTCAGGCCTTTCTAAGACCAGTGGCCCTGGCATTTAATAGGATTTAGACACAATAAATAATTTCCTGCAAAGGAGAAATGGGAAAATCCGAAAAAGCAAAAACCTCAACATCTGCACTTAGCCTCCCTCTGTCATTCTGAACATTTGTTGATGGGAAACCCAAATAGAACTGAGCATGACCCCAGCCTTCCTGGGAGCGGGTCCTCACAGACGGCCAAGCCCGAGGTCTCTCTTCATTGTCTGGGTCCAGACCAACCTAAGCTCCCGTGAGGCTGTGGGCTGGAGGGCGCGTTGCTCCAGACTGTGAAGTGAAACCTTGGTGTCTCTTTTAGCAGAAAAACGTTGCTGTGTACTTCGATTTTATCGTTAACAGTTCTGTGACCTGCTGTGGAGAGCAGGGCCTGCAGCCGTGCTTAGAGCATGCGCGGGAGAGCAGTAACTCGGGGCGGGGCGGGGCAGGGCGGGGTGGGGGGAGTGATGCAGCCCCCGCACGTGCGAGTGGTGGACAACCCGCTCCTCGAACAGCAACACCGTGCTCTCAGAGCCACGTACCAGCGGAGGCTGCACAGAACACCTGCCTGTCGGAGCTGGTGTGTGCAACGTGTGCCCATTGGGACTGAGGAAAAAACACGTGCTTATCCAAATTAAGAAAATCATGTTAGCCCTGGCTGGTATGGCTAAGTGGATTGAGGGGCCGGACTGTGAACCAAAGGGTCACAGGTTCGATTCCCAGTCAGGGCACATGCCTGGGTTGCCTCCAGGTCCCCAGCATGGGGTATGTGAGAGGCAACCACACATTGCTATTTCTCTCCCTGTCTTTCTCCTGCCCTTCCCCTCTCTGTAAAAATAAATAAATAAAATATTTTTTTTAAAGAAAATCATGTTTAGGAGAAATTGTGCCAAATTAACGTGACTTTGCCACAGAAAGAAGTGTAAAAGCAGAGGATTTAAGACCATGATGGCAAACCCAGAGAGTGGATCACTTTGACACGTCCTGCCTGCTCCTCCAGAGCGAAAGCACCATGTGCTTCAGGCTCGCGGACTTTCGGGACTCAGGCTCTTAGCCCCAGTCCCTTGTGTGCGGTCGTTGTTGACTGTTTCTGAGCGGTTGTCAGCGTTACTAGGTCAGCAAGGATTGCGGCTGAATCTGCGCACTCCCCCGTGTTGGCTCACCGTTATTTCTTAGTGCTGGTGTCACCAGTAGGGCTGATGGTCTTGTAGGCAGCCCTGTACTTTCCGTCCCTGAAGCCCCTGACCAAAGGTCAACTTACAGGAAAGACTACTCATGTATCACAAAACATAGGGAACAAAGATTTGGTGAGAATTCAGACCTCAGGGCACCTCTTGGCTAAGCTCCCTGGTCCCTCTCTCCACATCTCCTGGCTGCCCTCAGGTCATACCAAAGAGTGTCCAGCTCTGCCCTGGAACCCGCCTGCATGCTTTCCAACTGGTTTTCAGAACAGGTGCCTTGACACATGGATTTCTGCAGCCTCTGTCACCTCTTCTGAGAAGGGAAGTTCTCCATTTCAGCCTCACAAATCTGTCATGAAGGTACATTTAACTGCACCTGCTGGCCTTATAAGAGGCCTGCCTGTGGAACATATGGAGTCTTGGATTTTATTGCCAGAACTTGGAAATGCACCTCAGGGGTTACAAAAGCTGAAACCTGGAACTGAGTTACCACCAGACTGTAGGAAGATGGGACTCTGTGCTACTGAAGTTGGAGTGAGGAGGGGGAGCACCAGGGGTCCCTGGGAAACTCCTGTGTTTGCCTAATGCCTACTGAGCACATACTGAATACTGGGGCCCACAGAGGTAAACAAGCCTTAGTCCCATCTTCTGTCAAGAAAAGATAAACCTATGTCTAAATAAACTCTAGAGATCAGCCCTGGCTGGTATGGCTCAGTGGAATGAGTGTCAGCCTGTGAACCAAAGGGTCACCAGATCGATTCCCAGTCAGGGCACATGCCTGGGTTGTGAGCCAGGTCCCTAGTAGGGGATGCATAAGAGGCAACCACACATTGATGTTTCTCTTCCTCTCTCTCTCCCTCTCCCTCTCCCTCCCTTCTACTCTCTAAAAATGAATTTTTAAAAAATTTTTAAAAATTCCAGTGATCAGTGTGCTGTGTGAGGTGAGGCTGGAGCTGGGGTTGGAGGGTTTCTCCAGAGCAAGACACAGGCCCACCCAGCGTCAGGGGGCACCAGGCACATGGAATGCAGCGTGGCCCCTGGAATTGTGCAGTGCTGCAGCCCTGTCCTGGAGCTGTGGACCCCAGGCCTGAGCGGAAGAGATGAACTGAGTTCCGCAGGTGGAAAGGCCAAAAAGGTCGGGGTGGGACAGGGCTTTCTAGGTGAAGGGGTGAGTAACTGAAAGAAGCAGGAGTGTGAAAGGGCACCCTCCTCCGTGCCTGGGGCTGGCATGACAGCCAACACTTGGGCCTTTGGGGAGGGCATCAAGGTACGAGCGGGAAGTACAGAGTAAAGGTCTGACCCAAGACACCAGGCACTTTTCTCCTAAAGTGGTTTCTAGGCTCAGCTTCTTCCCGCGATTGCTCTGCCCAGAGAATTGCTCCCAGTTTGTTGTTGTTGCTGCTGTCGTTGTTGTTGCTGCTGTTGTTTTCCTTGTACCCTGTCTGGGAACTGGGAGAACTTTCCCGGCCAGCGGCGGAGTTGCACGGTGGTTAGGAACGTGGGAGACTGAGCGTCATTTCACTCAAATGATCCAAGTTGGGGCCACCGGGAACAGGACCCACGAATGTCACGTGCCTCCTGATGTGACTCACTGAGAAGGGCATGACCCTGAGTGCAAAGCATTCCTGTCCAGAACACACAGCCTGAGCTCCTTGTGAGCAGACGCCAGACACACTCCACCCGAGGGACATTTACCAAACGATGGGCCTGAAATATTTAAAATATCTCCTGCATGAAAGACAAAGAAAAAGGCTAAAAAACAAGCCAGATTAGAAGAAAATAAACAGATAAGAGTGCTGTGGTAGACAGGTTCTAAAATAATCCCCAAATGAACCTCCTTTCCTGGAGTTCACGTCCCTGTGCAGCCCCTCCCCTCGAGGGGGCCTGGGCCCAGTGCCCTGCTCACAACAAACTGATGGGGTGTCACTTCTGAGGTTACAAATGACTCTAGTTTAGGTTACAGAAGACTTCGACTTCTGACTTGCTAGCATTCTGTCTTCAGCTCTTCTCAACTCCTTCTTGTGACCGAACTGCCAAATGATGAGCTGCCCTATGGAGAGACCCATGTGTCTAGGAGCTGAGAGAGGGAGGACCCTGGCCAGCAGCCGGCAGAACACAGAGGGCTTCGGGCCAACAGTCTGCAGCGACCTGAATCCTGCCCGTGATTGCCCGAGTAGCCCAGACGCCGGCACTGGTCCAGCAGGACCATGAAATCACTGGTGCGACGACCGCTCGACTGCAGCCTGGGGGCCCTGAGTCCAACAGCCCAGCGAAGCCACATCTCGATTCCCGACCCACAGAAACTGTGAGATGGTAGATGTTGTTTTAGGCCACTAAGTGTTGGGGTGAGTTGTTATGCAGCCACGTATACGGTAACTCATATGGCCACTAAATGCAATGAATAATCCTGAACCGGATCCTGGAACTGAAAAATAAAATATTCCTTTCCTAGGAAAGGAATATATTCCTAGAAAAATAAAATATTTCTTTCCTAGGAAAGACATTTAGGTAATTGACACAATAGAAATAGGGGCCAAATGAATGAAAATATGCTGTCCATATTAAATTTCCTGAGTTTGAAAACAGTACTGTTTTATAAGGTGATGTTTGGTTTGTTACAGATATACACTGAGATATGTAGGGACATGATTTCTGCCACTTTCTGTTAAATGGCTCAGAAGTAATGGAAACATTTCTTATACATATTATATGTGGTGTAGTCCATATATTATAGAGGAAGACAGTTTCATTTACCTGTTGTGTAACAAACCACCACAAAACTCAGCGACTTAAAACAACAAAGATGTATTACTTTTTAAAAAATTTTTATTTCTTTTATTGATTCTAGAAAGAGAGGAAGGGAGTGAGAAAGAGAAACATTGGTTACTCCCTGTAGGCAATCCAACCCAACCGGGAACCGAACCTGCCACACAGGCGTGTGCCCTGAACAGGAATCAGGCAGGCAACCTTTCCGTTTCCAGGATGATGCCTGCCCAGCTGGGCCACACTGGCCAGCGCTCCTTCTTTAAATTTTGTGGATGACTGGGTTGATCTGGAAGGCTCTGCTCCTTATGGCATCCACTGAGGCTACTCTGCCGCATTCAGCGGGCAGTGGGGCTGGGCTGGGAAGTCCAAGAGGGTTCACTCTGTGTGCGGCACCTTCGTGCTTCCTGACATGTCCTCTCTCTCTCTCCACGTGGTAGCCTGGGCTTCCTCACAGCAGGGCAGTTTCAGTGGAGAGAAGCTTCTTCCCTGGCAGCTAGCTTCCAAGGGAGAAG